ACCCTCAAGGTCCATCCATGTTGCTACACATGGCCAGATTTCATTGTTTCTCATTGCCATGTAGTATTCCATGGTATAGATAAACCACATCTTCTTGATCCATTCATCTGTTGATGGACACTTAGGCTCTTTCTGTGTTTTAGCTATTGTGGAGAGTGCTGCTATGAACATTGGGGCACATGTGCTCCTATGCCTCAGCATTTCTGTATCCCTTGGGTAAATTCCTAGCAGTGCTATTGCTGGGTCATAGGGGAGTTCTATTGTTAGTTTCCTGAGGAACCTCCACACTGTTTTCCAGAGGGGCTGTACCAGTTTACATTCCCACCAACAGTGTAGGAGGGTGCCCGTTTCTCCACATCCTCGCCAGCATCTAGAGTTCTCTGATTGGCTCATTTTAGCCACTCTGACTGGGGTGAGGTGGTATCTCAGTGTGGTTTTGATTTGTATTTCCCTGATGAGGAGGGATGCTGAGCATCGTTTCATGTGTCTGTTGGCCATCTGGATGTCCTCTTTGGAGAAGTGTCTGTTCATGTCTTCTGCCCATTTCTTCACTGGGTTGTTTGTTTTTCGGGCGTGTAGTTTGGTGAGTTCCTTATAGATTCTGGATATTAACCCTTTATCTGATATGTCATTTGCAACTATCTTTTCCCATTCCGTTGGTTGCCTATTAATTTTCTGGGTTGTTTCCTTGGCTGTGCAGAAGCTAAAACCAAACTTTTGTGTTGTACATTCATACACGGCAATATTTGCTCTTGACATTTCTTGAAGGCCAGGAGATTCTTACTTTTTGTACCTTTTAAGACTACATCAGAATAAACATAGTAAAACCTTAGCAACAATATCTGTATCTATATGTAGATATAGTTATAGATGTCTGATCACTTACAACATCTACCCAGGCAATACGACCTAAGGTTGACCACTATTTGTTTCACAGGGCTTTCCACGGAACACACCAAATACAAAGGTTCAAGTAGTCAGAAGGATTTCATTTACAATTTAAATCCTGACAATTTGGTTAAAACCTCACTCAGTTACACACAGGCTTACAGATCATTACACATTGTAATTATTTATTGATTTAACCAAGGTGGCAAGAGGAGACTCTAAAGGCGAATTACTGTAGGCTTATGTAGTTGTTAGCGGAACGTAGCCCCTTTGAACATTGAGAAGTTCTGACTAACTAATATAAAGCTTTGGTTTCCCAGGCAGATAAAAGAGAAACAAGAGAAAAGACTCTTTTGTTCATTTCATTGATTGATTTGTTTGTTTATTTATTATTATTATTTAAATGGCTAGAATTCTCTTTTTTTATATTTTTATTCATTTTGAGACGGGGGGTGGGGGGGGCTAGAGAGAGAGAGAGACAATGAGAGACAGAGACAGAGAGAGAGAGAGAGAGAAAGAGTATGAGCTGGGGAGGGGCAGAGGGAGAGGCACACACAGAATCTGAAGCAGGCTCCAGACTCTGAGCTGTCAGCAGATTGTGACCTGAGTCAAGTCAGATGCTTAACCCACTGAGCCACCCAGGTGCCCATCTGCATTTTGTTTCTTTTTTTTTTAATCAAGAGCAGATCAACAATCCAAGAAACCTTTCTTTCGAGAACAGAGAAAGGCAGGATTTTCATCTTAGACCAGTGTGTTTTTAAATAGGATTTTTGAAACTCTTTCTTTTACTTTGTCTTTTTTATACATTTTGTACTCAACAATATTACGTAGTGTGTTTTTCTTTCCAATCAAAAGCAAACTTTTGTATTGTGCATCCAGACACAGCAAGATTTCCTCTTGACATTTCTTTAAGGCCAAAAGATTCTTATTCTTGGTAACTTTTAAGGGTACATCAGAATAAGACTTTTGAGGGGCTCCGGGTGGCTCAGTCGGGTAAGCGTCCGACTTCAGCTCAGGTCATGATCTCACGGTTTGTGAGTTTGAGCCCCACGTTGGGCTCTGTGCTGACAGCTCAGAGCCTGGAGCCTGCTTCGGATTCTGTGTCTCCCTCTCTCTCTGACCCTCCCCTGCTCACGCTGTCTCTCTCTCTCTCTCTCTCTCTCTCTCTCTCAGAAATGAATGAAACATTAAAAAAAATTAAACTCAGTGTTTTCAAATTCACATATTTCAAGCCCCACAAGCTGCAACTTCCCTGTCAAAATTGTTGGCTGCCAAAGTTATATCTGGTTCTTCAGCTGTACTTTCCGGTCTGTAATTGTGTAATGTCTGTGTGTAAACTAAATGCTTGGGCTTTCAGTACAGTATTCATAGAAAGCAATAAATATTAATGTTATGGAAAGAAAAAGAATAAAACAATTTCAGTCTGCATTTTTTTCTGTGTAGTTACTTCATCATGTTTTCATGATTTGGGGGATAGTGCTCTTTTTGATATTTGAAGTGTGAAATTCAGACCATAAGGGGATCCTTTCATTCTTGGCAATTTGCCTCGACGTCCCGTTTAAGGTAAAATATATTCCCATTAACTGTTGATAGGAAATGAGGTTGTATATTGATGGCTGAGTTTTGGCATGATAGCTACACGCTGTCAAAAAAGGCCATAAGGATTGTATAGCTGAATGTGTACTTTTCTCTTTTGTGCAAATTTGCCTTTGATATTAGGAGGATAGGTTTTAGAAATCCTGGGTGCCCTAGTGGCTCAGTCCGTTAAGTGTCTGACCTTGGCTCTGCTCATGATCTCACGGTTCGGGAGTTCAAAGCCCCACATTGGGCTCTGTGCTGACAGCTCAGAGCCTGGAACCTTCTCTCTCTCTCTCTCTCTCTCTGTCTCTGCCCCTCCCCTGCTCATGCTCTGTCTATCTCTCTCAAAAATAACTAAACATGAAAAAAAAGAGAGGGTTCCTTATGCATTGTGCCCATAGTTCTCTAGGTCTCATGGTTTTGGATTTTTGGATGACATGTGTTTGAGATGATGTCAAGGACATACAAGTGCTTTGAAACAACTTCCTCTGTGATATAAGGGCACTCGAGGAGAAGAGGAATCCAAAGGAGATTATATCATGTTTCGATTCTGATTTCGTTTTCTGGAATATTTGATACAGAGAAATCTACGTATTAAAAAAATTTTAATGTCAAAGTCCTTGAATTTTAATGATGTGCTCTTAAGGCTTTCAGTCTTTGAAACCACATCATTATGTAGAGGAATGCCAAGTACAGTAAAGTACTTTAATTTCTGAAACAGAGATTGTTCAGATTTTCTGGGTGATTGATTCTTCATAAGTCACCTTGAATAAACAGATTCTTGACTTATGGGAGAAGATATCTGAAATGGTCTTAAAGTGTAAGGGGTTATCTGAAGCATGGTGAACTCTTTCTATGACTCATGAAGAGGAAGTCTCTGATAGATGCAGAAGAGTCTTCTGACTCAGATGTCACACAATTTTTAGAGTGGAAGAACATGTGTAGTTATTGCATTCCTTGTTTTACTTTCGTCCTCTGAGATGTCAGGCTTTTTTGAAAGGTAACTTCTTTGTGACAAAAATAAATGTTCTTTTTTCGTCTTTAAAATTCTTTAATGTAGTATATCAGTTTTCACAAATTGAACTTCACTATTTAGGTTTTCATCACGTTAAATCTTATAATTTCAGAAATTTCATAACCAAAATATCAGTTGAATTCTATTCTGTCTCTAACAAATATTAATAAACATGTAGACTTTAGGGAGGCCTGGGTGGCTCAGTCGGTCACGCGTCCGACTTCAGCTCAGGTCGTGATCTCGCAGTGCAGGAGTTCGAGCCCCACATCAGGCTCTGTGCTCACAGCTCAGGCCCTGGAGCCTGCTTCTGATTCTGTGTCTGCTTCTCTCTCTGCCTCTTCCCTGCTCGTGCTCTGTATCTCTCTCTCAAAAATAAATCGACATTGAAAAATTTGTGATGAAAATGTTGACTTTAAGTTCTTGTTACAGAACCAAATGGACATTTTGTTGACTGCTTAAAACTACTGCTGACTGAGAATTATTAGAACTAGGAAACTATTCTCTCATCTATATGAACAATGAAAATTAGCTTATTCTCAGTATAAATGGCACCCAGTTTCCGGAGAGCTTATTTGTTTTGTTTTGAATCCTGGATATAAGTCCTTTACTAGATATACGGTTTTTGATATTTTCTTTTGTTTTTAAATTTTCTTTCCATTTTTTAATTTCAATTTTTATTCCTTAACTTGCAAGTTTAAAGCCGCATTAGTTAACGTATAGTGTGGAGATGGCTACAGGAATAGAATTTAGGGATTCATCCCTTCCATGTAACACCCAGTGCTCATCTCAGCCAGTGTCTTCCTTAGTGCCCCTCCCCCACTGAGCCCATCCTCCCTCCCAACACCCCACCAGCAACTCTCAGATTGTTTTCTGTATTTAAGAGGCTCTTATGATTGGTCTCCCTCCCTGATTTGATGCTATTTGTGCTTCTCTTCCCTTCTGTTCATCTCTTTTGTTCCTTAAATGCTACATATGAGTGAAGTGATATATTTGTCTTTCTCTAACTGACTTCTTACACCCTTAGAAGAATACACTCTAGTTCCACTCAGGTTGTTGAAAATAGCAAGATTTCATTCTTTTTGGTCGAGAAATAAATGTTCTTGTGATCAAGTGTCCCAAAAAGAAGAAACCTATTACAAATGATGGGCAAAAGCACACACCATTAAATTTACTACCGTGAACCATTCATGGGTGGATACGTCAGAGGCGGTATACAGATTCTCAGCGTTGCACAGCACATCTAGCCCAAGTCCATTTTGTGACGGAAAATCTACACCCACCGCTCCGTTCCTTCCTCCCCACCCCGACTGGAACCACAGATCTTTCTCTTTTGATACATTTGACTAGTTAATATTCTTCACATTAGTGGACTCCGAGGGTATTTTTCTCTACGTGACGTGCTTAGATTGGACAGCGGCGAGTCCAGAATGACCACCTTGTGGAAGACTGGACGGCCGTGCACTGGTCACAGAAGCCCCTGTTCTTCACCCGCCCCTCTGTCTGTGGACATTCGGCTGCTTCTACCTCCCGACGCTTAGGAATTACACAGCAATGAACGAGGATGTGCAAGTGTCTCTCCCAGATTTGCTTTCAATGCTTATGGATATAACATCAGAAGGGAGACCGCTCCATCATGCGTTAAGTCTATTAATTTGGAGGAAACTCCCACTCTGCTCTTGGGGCGGGGAGGGGTGAGGTGGGAGAGGCGAAGGCTTTTGACCATCAGGAGCAGGGAGAAGCAGCGCTCACAGCTGCCTGACAGGGTGCAGAGCATATGTGAAGACCACTGGCTGGGGGTCTCCGAGGGAGCACACGGGCTCCTCAGGACGGGCCAGCCCCCTGTCTGGTTGTTGCTGAGGAACCTGGGATGGTGAGGGCCGGGTTGGAGGCTGCTCTTTGCAAGCTCTGCTTGCAGTGAGGAGCCTGAAGCCCCAGAGAAGTGCGGGCTCCACTTCCCCAGGTCAGCCCCAGGACCCCCGGGTTTCCCCAGAGAGGGTTGTGTCACTCACACCCTTTCCTCCTCCACGAGGTCTCTCCTGACCCCAGGTGGGGGGGAGGGTCTGGGTCCTTCTGAATTTTACCACCACCACCACCCCACCCAGGAATGAGTTCCCTGGAGCATGAGCTCTGGGGACCTGAAACCTTCCCGCAGCTCAGCCCCAAATGCCACTGGCTTTCCTCTGGCCAAATTTCGGTCCATGCCCTCCAACTGGCCAAGGCGCCTCCGACCAGCCCCTAGTTTGTACTTCTGTCACCTTGAACTTCTCCTGGGGATATGAGACCTGCCCAGAGACCCTTTGGGACCCTTGCCCCAGAGTTTCAGCCTTGGAAACCACCCTCCACTCCCATCTGCATTCAGCAAATCTCTCCCAGGCCGTGGACCCACCGTTTCCACCACATCCAATTCCCACCCCACCCCACCCCATTGGCTCCCTGGGTCATCATTAAGGTATTTCCCTCCCTCCTTCTGGGTCCTGACCACACACCCTGAGCCACACAGGAGAAAGGGGTCAGCCTGGAACCAGGCAGTGAAGCTCTAGACCCTCCATGACCCTCCATTGTTGATACTTAGCTTCTCTGCTCCGTTGTAACAAACAAGAAAGAATGGAAGCTTCAAAGCCAAATACAAGTTTATTTGAAGTTTTTAGATGTTGGAATCCAGGCAACACAGATTCGGGAGGGACCTGAAATGTGCTCTGAGGGAGGAGGAAAAAGAGGCCAAACCCCAGGCTTGAAAGATTTATGACTGCTGCCGCATAAACGACCAGCTTTACTTTGTGTCGATTGGTGACTATGGGAGTAGCCGGGTGGAGCTCAGGAAACTAAGCTTCCTTCTGAGAAGTGCGGCCGAATAGAGCCCTCTGTGGTTGGCACAGGCTAGAAGGTCATGTGGCATCCAGATGTAGGGGGTCTTTTTACAACGGGAGTCTGGTCTCGGTCTCCGGGATCTGTGTTAAGGATCTTAAGGTTAGTGATTCGATGCTCACCTTTCCGTTGACTGCCGTGAGCCAGTCTTCTCTCTTTGTGAGTCTGGCCTAAGGGGCCAATGATGACTCAAGAAGAGAGCTGAGCACACATACAGGCTCCACCGGGTGTAGAGAAGCCACTAAAGTGATTTGTTCTCCTCCCGAGGACAAGTATTTCCCCAGAGAGCCCGAGTTGCACAGGCACGACTGCAGCTAAAGCACCATCACTGATGTGGGCTCAATAAACCTCTTGGTGTGTCGAAAAGCATATGGTATATTTTTAAAGAATTCTCCACCAATCACACTGTGTAAAATGCAGACTAGTTTTCTCAGGAGGTGAATAAGGCTCTCCTTCAACAGAAACTCGCACAACACTTTGAACACCTCCGTGAACATCCAGTGGGTCTCCGTAAATGTCCCGAGAGACCTGGAGATACACATCTTTATCACACGCAGGAGAAGAGTAGCTACAACTTCCGTGATTAATTTCATGGCCGAAGTTCTGCTACTAAACATGATTAAATCGGTACAGAACACCATATAATAAGTGTGCACTTCTCCACTGCAGTCCGCAAAAAGTGTAGACAGCTTAGAGAGCCAGCCTTTTATAGTTCCTGGAGTGAGTCATTTCTGACGTCCCACTTGTGGCAGGCAGTTTTTGAAATGGTCTAATATTAGAAGCAGGCCTTTTTTTCAATGGTCTGAGCACTGTAAATTTACAGACACAATTTTGTTTCTCCTGGGCGTAACTGGCCGAGATTGACGGATAGGTTAGGTCAGGGTTTGTTTTCTCACAAGGGGGTTTTGGTGACTGATATTACACTGCTAGAAAAGTACAAAGCAGGCCCTCTTTCTGGACAGAAGTCAACATTTTCCTGGGTGACTGATCCAATCTTCAGAGCGGTTGGAGATTTCTCCTTTACTTCTTTTTGAAACACATTTTGTACTCAACAATACTA